TGCAAATCATTGTAAAATTAATTGATTTATGGCTGAACTCAGATTCTAAAATTATAGACATAATAATAAGGGAGTACCTAGAGTTGGACCAGACCAATTATCGAACCATACATTTATTATGGTTTTTTTTCAATATTTAAACAATATCAATAAACCATACAATTTAATTTATTTATATATTAAATGATATATTGTTCATTATTTTCGTTTTAATATTTCTTTGCAAATCAATTAGGTTGTTTTAAATTATTAAATGTATATAACTATTCGTATACCCATTTTTCAATTTTTGATGGTCAATACATTATACATGAATATAGTTAATTATATTTTATATTCTGATGAGTTAAAATCATTGACTAATATTTAAATATTGTAGTTGATTAAGAGTAAAATTCGTTGAATTTGTTTGAAGTGTATTTAAAATATTAATAATTGTATACACTTTAAAAGCATTATTCATGCAAACTAATTACAAAAAATAAATATTTTTTTATTGATTATGATCGTTAGATTAAGATGAATAATGTAGGTACTAATTCCGATAGCAAAATTTGCTAGAATTATTGGATATGAAAATACTAGAAGATATTAATTAGCAGTATCTTCTAAGTATACCTTTAATCAAGTATTTGATTTGAGTATCTACCTATCATAAAATGAGTACGGATATGCGTATTAATATTTTTTTTATTGTTGTCCATACAAGCACCAACAGTGGGTTTCGTGTTATTTTTCATTCGTCATGTGATTTTTCAGCAATACAATTGCTTAAATAATATTAGTGTATTCCACAAGACCACAACTAAGTATTTTTTACCAACATAATTCTTTTACCCTGCTAATTATTTAATTTATATGTATTTAGAAAATATATAATATATAATGTATTTAGTTACCTGAACCAAATTTTTATACTTCTTAATATCAAGATTTGTTTTTATAATCTCCTTCCAATGAATTTTTGAGAAATGTATTCTCTGATTTTTAATAACTTTAACAAACAAATAAAAAACGAATTTGTTAACCAACACAACTATTGTCATTATTTTTTACAAACTATTTGTATCAAACACAACTATAGTCTGTAGTCTACTGTTGCGGGCTACGAATTTCTATCAACCATAGGTCTTCACATAAAGAGTTTTTTTGGTTTCCAAGAGAATTAGACAGGGATCGCAGGTTAGGTAAGGTTATTCTTATCAGCAAACAGGGACAAACAAATAATATATAATTATATAATATCAACAACAATTTGGGTTAAAAATAGTTATAACTTTAAGTATCGAAAACATCGTTTTATTGAAATGAAATAACAAAAATCAAATATCACATTTCAGAATCGCGAACTGATAATTTAATACATAATATGCATACCCACCTATCAGTTATTTATTTATTTATTTTAATAAATGTGCACATAGGCCCCACAACTCACAAGCCTACAATAAATAATTTATTTAACAATATTATAAGAGGAATTAAATTTAGATTCGTTACATGCAATTATCTCTAAAAATTATCAGTTACATAATTTTTATTAAGACATAAAGTTTCTCATTTGAAAACCAAACGTGATATCGACTTAGAATAGTCATGTAGCGAATTCGCAGATCAGTGATCACATAATATGTGTGGGCATCGTCATTCGTCACATACTGTAAACATAATTTTTGCTAATGAGGAAGACGGTATAGTCATCACTCATCTGGATACTCATAAACATCTTTACAATTGTATACATATTATATAAGACACCCACAATGTAAAGTTTGACAGTGACCATGGTATTCGTAAGTCATAAGTCATTTTCTATTACTTAAGAACTGTGTGATAATGAAACATATAAAAGTGTAATGGAACTTAGTTTTTGATCTATCTTTCATGAAGCTCCCTATAGTTACGGTTAAAGTATAATCTAAAGGGCTTTGAAAACCCACACTGAATTATTTAATTCCCCAACCACGCTACAACCACTTTGGAAATCTAGTTGATTATCCGAATACTTTTATTTCAAATACATTTCAAATACTTTTTTACGAGTGTATTTTAATTACTTTAAAAATACTTTTTCTTAATGTTTTTTTGGTAATTCTGGTTACATGGTAGAGTCTTGCTATTCCGATCTCCATTGAACCCGGATATCTAGTTAATTCGAACAATCAATTTTGTTTATTATATACGCATATTATGTCATAGCCACGTCGTGAAATCGATATTTCCATGAAAATATGACCATTTCATGAAATGGAAACGGAATTTTTACATTACATTCGAAAATATTTTACAAAATAGTCACTTTTTCATGAAATGATCACTGTAATTTAACATTGTGTCATTTTTTGTACAATAAACTTTGTTTACTATTTATATTCTATGTGACTATCATACTGCAATAAATTACTAGAGTATCTGAAATATGTAGATGATATTTATTGAATTTGATAAGTCATAATCATAATGTCACATCAGCATTTACGTAATATTTTATATTTTAATATTAAAGTATATTGTTGCTTCGTGGATCATTCGATCAGATTATATTCTAAAGGCTAGAGTACCTCTACGTCTGTAAGTTGTATATTAAAAATTGACGAATTTAATGAAAAATTGAGTTTTCCCAAGAAAATGGAGAAATAAAATTTGGATAAGCTTGGTAAATTCCATTTATCTATGGCTGATAAAGTATCGTCGGCTTTATGACCCGGGATTTTGAGTTCGAAATCTGGCAGGTGTCTGGAGTAGAAAATGAAGCAGCCGACGTGGTGTCGGGTTGTCTGACCGGACCGAATACCATTGAGTCGAAGACAAAAAGTCGTAGAAGAACTGCAATACCCACGATTCTCCGGAAGTTTGGCATGGACCAATTATCTCTCAGTGAGGAGTGGTCCAACCGAAGAAGGACGACAGAAAGGTAAAGCTGCAAATAGTCCGAGACTGAAAACAGAATGAATGTTACACGCACTATACACATATCTTGTTTTAAACGTTTTTTAGTTAAATTGAACATTCACTTCGTGAAATTGGGTTCATAATTTTGGTGTCTTACACATTCGATTTTAATATTATATATGGTTATATTTTTAAGTATGAGGTTTATATTGTAAGAATTTTTCATTAACCATTTTTTTTTAGTTTTAATTTATTTATATTTTGTAATTTAAATTTAGTAGGAGTAATAATTATGTAATAAGGTATTTCTTGTACATGATTTAATCAATCTATAAAAGTATAAATTTTCTGATCAGACACATCTACTACATTATTCTGACAAAAAAAAAAAAATTTTAAGTAGAATATGAAATAAAATACTTTGTGTTGTATAAAATATGTTCAGGCATGGACAATAAAAATGGGATATCGTGTCCAATATGATCAAATTTAAATTTCAAAATACTTTTATAATAATTAAAATATTATCATTACCCGAAGATAAAGTTGAAAAAAAACTATGAAAATTGATATCCTATAAATGACAATAAAAATTACAGTTTATCGATTTAAATTAATAAACCAAAAGAAAAATATTTAAATAACATAATTAACAATGAAAAAAAAATATAAATAAACATATTAAATAATAATAAATAAAATAATAAATAAATAAAATTATAAATTAATTAGTATAAATTAATTTATTCAGCTTACACATAACTTGATTTATATTTATGTATTTTTTTTTCTTCTTTTTCCTTAAAGTAGCTATACTAATGTAACTCTCTTATTTATTTATATATTTATTTAAAATGTAATTGGAATTTATTCCGTAATAAAACATATTATTATTATTATTATTATTATATCTGCACTCGTGTAGATAAATGTTACAATACAAGAGTATTAAAAATAAAAGCATTTTTTATTTCAAGCAGTGGCTCACAGTGTTAAAGAAGAGTTACAAAGTGGTCCTCCCGCTGCTGTTTATCATTAAAAATTGAAAAATAAATTTAATAAAGCCAAATGAAATTACAAATAGCTAACAAAGACTTAGTATTGGACTATACGACTAAATATATTTTAAGATATTATTAACAGAAGGTACGGTTAAGTTGTATTATTGTAATTAAACAATTTTAATATAAGTTATTAATGAAAAACATATTGTAATTAAAAATAAAACTGTGTGTATTAAATACAGTAGTAATAGTACTGTACCCACTTTAAGAGTAACAAGTGTATCGATCAATTATATTTTTAAATTATAAATAAATAATTAAAAAAAATATTTTTCGATTAAATATCTAATATCATATATTTTTTAGATTTTTTTAGTAAATTATATACTGCAAATGGGAAACCTAGTTTCAAATGTCCAACTTTTAGCTAAAACAAATGATTATTAAAAATTGTTATTCAGTTAATAACTATAAAATATACTGAAAATTTTCAATACTAACGAACTTTGTAAACATTTGAATTCAGAAAAAATAATCATTGATGCTCTAGTGTGAGACTCAGTAATAACTATGTATTTTTAGTATTTTTAAATGTACACAAAAAAAATTTATGATAAATACGGTATTATATTTTTAAATTTTTTAATACCTACTAAAAAAATTAAAAATAATTTTAGAATTAATGACTAAAAAAGACCATAATAAAAGAAAACTGAAAACATCTTTACACGAACCTAGGAGATCCATTTAAAATCGAAATGCCAATGTGTAAATATAACTGAGATGCTGGTTATTAAGTATTTTTTCAGAAAATTCGTATCCCGCAATAAATTATTTAAGTTGATTTATTTAATAAAGTCATATTTTTTGATTGTTAAAATACTAAAAATCAGAGAGTAAATTATAAAATATCATAAAAACATATGTTCATATTCAAAACTATAAGAAATAGGTGCAGTAACTCACTTTTATAGGTAAATGGAATAGTTAGTCGAGTAAACAAAATAAAGTTGATAAAAAATACTTAGTTGTAGAATACACAAATATTAAAAAAACAATTGGTGTTGCTAAAAAATCACACGAGAAATAAATAACAGCAGAACGTTCCCCAATAAAATGAATTTTATTTAAACATAAGTGATAAAAATTGAACAGTGTTCTTATTGAAATATCAACAATTAGTTGGTTACTGGAACACCAGCAGTTGTTGAATTATCGACACCACATTCGTTTGTGCCTCGTTGAATTTTGAAAAGACCATTGTCGCCCCAATCTTCGTTCCATGAGTTGACCATCAACCAATACGGGGTTCCGTTTTCTTCGCCCCAACCGATCAATTTAACGGCATGACCTCCTACATATGTCGCATTTTCTGATCGAACGTAAACACCTTAAAAACATAAAATGTCAGTAAGAAGAAAACAAAAATATTAAAATAAAAAACATATTTCGTAGAAAATCGTTGTTGCTGGTTTACCTGACTTATAAACAAAGAAATCGTCGTATACATCGAACGATGCTTCAATTGGTCCGTAAGCCATAACGTCCTTTTGGATGCTACCATAAGTTAAATAGTAGTAGTCACGTGCTATAATTATAATTTAATGCATTTAAAAAATTTAACGACATATTGTACTCAGTTTTAAAAGTAAATCATACTGTATCTGTGATCGTCATAGAAATCGATTGACTGATTTCCGTAACAGCTTCTAGTGCATCTGAGATCCCATACCGATGGTTGCTTTGAAGATGTACTATTTCCTTCGTCGTCATTGGTAGGTGGGAATTTGTATGGTTGACAACCCTTAAAACATTGTAGGTAGGTATACACAGTTAAACCAATTATAATATAATATTATGTTAACACTCTTCTCCGAAAACAAATTTACCTCTCCTGAGTTGTACTCTCCTCCAGTTACTAGACCGTGTATACTAAAACGTTTCCAAGCATTAATCGGATAACCACCGTGACATCCAAAACCACAAGTATGACAGCAGAAAGTGATTTCTTCTGCGGATAAAAATTCGTTGAAATCTCCATTTGTAGCTATACACAAACGGTCAGCAAAAGCAGAGCTTGTGGCCACACCCTAATGAAACAATCAGTTCAAAATTAAAGTTCTCATTTCACCACGAAAAAATCCATATTTGTACATACCCAATCCGATCCACAATTTCCTTGGTCAAGCACTTTTCCAATTGTGTCACAATGTCTCCATTTTCTCCTAGCATCGAAGTGCTTAGGAATCCTGCCAAAAAAGTTGTCGTAAGCTTCATCGTGAGTCTTGTACAGCTTAGAATTAACTTTGTCTGGAATTTGCACTCCTTTTGATCCCAGAAGTCTTATGAGGTGATCATGTGGAGTATTTGGGTCGAAATTCACACCAGCCTTATTAATTTAACGTTATGGTTAGTATAATAAATTATTTATTAAGTGTATTATACGATTTTCATTATAAATATTGATTTTCATTATTTATTCAAATATTAAGTACATTATTCACTTTTTTATATTGTTCTTTCCAATTGAATCAAAATAGTTGATTTTACACGGACGATTGATATTTGTCAATCACAAATTAAAAATCTCTAAAGAGATAACCTAACCATAGTATCACTATACACATAATATTTATCGTACGAATATAACAAGTCATCATATGCAGCATACTATTTATAATTAAAATTTAGATATAATTAATATGAAATACAAGATAATAACCTAACCTGATTATAATCACTTCAATTATATACTTTAATTATAATGAATTAATACTGGAACGAAATATCTCAAGCTTTATTTAACATGGTATTTCTCAAATACAATACAAACAAATCAATGACTTACCTTCCATGTAGTAGCTTGTTCATTGATGTTGTTAATGAAATCTTCTTGTAAAAAGTATGCCTGTTCCGTCACATAAACGCTGATAAAAATCACAGACAATAACATCAACACCCAAGCCATGGTTGCAAATGTGTTGCTTTAAATGTATTATTTAACAAAATTAAACGCAAACCTCACTGTTACTGCTCGTGTAGACAACAGTAGCAGAATAAGTTTCAATTTTCAAATATTAAAGTATTTATACGCATTTAACGATAGGTAGATACTCAAACTAAATACTTGATTTAAGTATACTCAGAAGACATTACTAAATATTATTTCCTTGTATTTTTATATTTAATTATTTTACAAATGCTTATTATCAGAATTAGTTGTTAGTACGTTATTCATTTTAATCTAATGTTCAATATCATTAAAAAATATAAATTTTTCAGAATTTGAAAATAAGTTAATATATGATATATATGAATTTAAAGTGTTGGTAAACAGTTATTCACATTTGAAATACACTTCAAACAAATTAAATTACGCCACGGTCGGATATAAATGTTTGAGGGGGACTGCAGACGTCGATGTAATTATTGGCCATAATACAATTAGTCAAAATAACCGGGGTATATCGCTTGACGAGGAATGGTCAAGCAAATCGTGAAAAACATTTGAAATCGACAAAAATGTAGTTTACACGGTTTTATCCAGATGGCAGAGGAACATTGAGATCAACACAAGCACGTTAAAGAAGTGCAGTAGCTAATGCATGTCACATTATAGAAGGTGTTTTGTCTGAACAGTGGACAATTTTGTATGTTGTAAGTGATCAGAACTTTTTTATAATCCTGCTGACGTTTCCACCTAGTCCATAAAAGAATCACACTCCCTGGATCTTGGAATGTATTTCTTCGGATTGCCATGTCCGAAATGGGTATACAATTTGGAAATAAGTTCATCAACTAAGAAGGACGCAAACTACCCAGTTATCGGAGTTTAGATGTCAATGATAGAATAGTAAGTCCGTATACCTACACACAGTAACGCTATGTGATTGCTATCAACACACGATACTTATTGGTCATCGCGTTAATGACTTCTTGGATACCCACGTCCATTCGTTGCTCAGACAATTTATGGGCGAACACTTAAACGCGGGATTGATACTCAGACAGCAACCTACGAGCAGTGTCGGAAATTATCTAGATAAGATTGTTTTAATTAATTATCTTTTAACGTGTCTAGATAATTATTTTATGATTTATCTAATGTTTTCTCAGATAAAAATGGTCTTATCTAGATAATTTTAATATTCTAGAGCTCCTACAAAAAATTAATTTAATGAATAATTATAATTTTTTTTAAATTTCTCTATTATACTACAAACATGAAGAGGCATATAACTTATGATTATGAATATAATAAATGTAACTAAAATTCTAATATAATGCAAATTATTAATAAAAATAAAGAATTAAGTGAACAATATTTCTCATTATTATTGCCAACAACTACAATGCATGAGTTCTTAATATCGTTCTCTAAGCCATACATCATAATGGCCATGATAAAAATGTATTAAGTATAAGTTTATTTCCCCGTCTAATAAAAATAACCAAAATTAAATTTGTAAATAAAAATGAAAAGATAGGTATGATTAAAAAAACAAGACGAAATCAGTTGTCATCATAAATATTATACTATAGTGCCATTGTATCGGTATCATTCTAACAATCAAAAAAAGTTTGAAAAAAAAACAACTTTATTTTCATCTAAATAATATTTTGTTAAAATTACCTTATTTTATCTAGATTATTTTATAGTTTTACTGTTCGGACAGTCTTTGGTGATATGAACATAGTAAATTTACATAGTAAAGAACGCATTTATCGAAATCACTGAACCTTCATGGGACACCAAAAAAAATGTACATCCAGATCCCAGCTTTTGAAATATGACATTCACTTGGAATGGTCTAGACGTATTTGAATCTGGGTTATCCAGTCGTTACCTAATAAAATCAAGCATATCTCGATGAAGAACTTTAATTTGTCCGGGAAATGACACAGAATCGTGAAAACGTTCTAAGATCGAGGAATAGATGATTGCGTTGAATCAAAAAAGGGAAAAACGGGTTGGCTGAACGATCAAATTGGTGATGTGTTATGATTTACTAGACAATTTGTAGGCAAAGATGTAGATGAATAAGATCCACCAGATATCACTCCACATTTGTACAACATCGTCAGCCAGCTTTGTGAGATTACCGGATGATTCATAATTAGTAATGATCAGTTGGACACCCTGGGTCTTGAAAATTATGTTGGCGTCTCCTAATATGGTCAATCGTGTATCGGTGAGGTGGTACTGTTGGAGACATTGGGAGAATTTCTCTCCAGTCCCTAACCGTAACTGTGATGCAGTCTTTGCATGGTTGTTGGCCATATCTGCGGCCACCTCCTAAAACATTGTAAGAATAGTCTGGTCAAATACGAATATCATTGAAGACGGCGTTTTGAATTGGTTGATGGAAAATATACACCAGACTTTGATGAGACAATAGTTGTAATAATAGAAGATGTCGTAATTGGTGGATTTGAAGTAGTGACCGTATTGGTCATGGGTATTATAGGCATCTTCATCTTGCTGGATTTAATAGAGCATCAAGCATTTGACCGGGTGGATTGCTCTCACTCTTTCCTGTACTCTTCATACAATATTATAATAATATAACAGAGTAGTAAAAATAACGCAAGAATAAAATTTAAATATATCTAAACAAAATGTCCTGGTATTTAACAAAACAAAAATAAAACACGAGTATATATGGTACATGCAATAAACATGTATTAGTTATCTCGGAGAACCATTAAAACAATAAAAAGAAAAACAAATTAGCAGAGAAAAGGAAGTAAGATCATTGATGCATTGAACATAAACACTACTGAATAATTTTCAAAACGAATACAATATAAATCAATTAGCAAATAGAATATAAAATAGTTCAAAAAGTAAGGTAACTCTGTCGGCCGGAGAAAGTGGGAGAAAGTAGTGATGAGGCAATTTAAAAAAGAAGTTAAGAATACTCAATACTACATAAAACAAATATTATTAGGTAATCATTTATTTCTAGTTATGTCTCCTTTGGTTAATTGACCGGCCAGCATCAGATCAAAAAGTATGTTAGTTATGTTAAATAAACACTATAGAGGAAGGGATGTCAAACTCATTTACTTTATTTTGTTATGAGCAATATCTTTTTATTTTAAAAACTCTGTAACTACTGCGCATTTCTTAACCAAAATTATTCAAATTGTTGATAAGTCTTTTATTATTTTATTTAAATACTAACTTTCTGTTTACAAACAAGTACTTTGCAAACAATAAGTGTTCAATCAAATTAAATAACTAGGTACAAATTTATTAAGTAAAAATTTGTAGAAAAACAAATAACAAAATAATTATACTCAGGGATGACTAGGGGAAAAATTGAAAAATTGAAAAATCCATGTACAAGCTGTTTATAGAAATATTAAGAAACACAATACTTTGAAGATTTCATCATGTCTTAAAAATTATAAAATAAACCTTTTGGGAAATATTTCATTTACTTTCGGTTATTTCATTTTTTAGGAGTACTTAGCGAAGATTACTTATCAGGGATTACATTTCGCAGTTATGAAGGAGCGTCTCTTTGAAACTCCTTCACAGGTGAAGTATAATTCACAAATACGAGTATGTACGTGAGCACTACTAAATGATCCAGAATGCGGTGTTTGAAATTGTTTGAACAAAAAATCAAAATGATTATAATATTATAATAATAATATTTAATATAAGTAAACAAACAACGTATTGTACCTAAAAGTTATGAGTATGCTAGAGGCATCATGGTGCTCAAGAATCAACAAATGATGCACATTTAAATATTTTTGTTAAGGTTCAAGGAATTTAAAAATAATTCTATTAAGAACCAGTAAACTAAACACTTAAATTTAGTGCCAATGTAGAAATAGCGCTGAGATACAAGATGTTTATTTTTATAACTTTTTAAAATTCATTCCCTGAAATAATTTACGGAAGTTGTGTTGGGAAAAAATCGAATTACTTAAAAATACTAAAAATCAGAAAATAAATTTCTCAGGGCATGCAACTAGTTTACTTGCGATATAAAATTGATTTGATTGTGATTTTTTATTTTTCTCTTTATGTCAGTGTGCATTTGAAAGTCATTTAACTAATCGTTGAGAATGGCACAGAAAATTAGTCATGTAGTAGTGATATTTGACTCATTCGGCTATCATTACAACAATTTACAATTAAAAATTCTTTGATGTCAATCAATATGGGAAAAATTCATAGGAACTCTTCACTGGAAGTTTTTGAAAAAAAAATTCTGAGTATTAAGTGACAAATTGAATAAAAATGTTGAATCATATAGAATTAGTATTTTTAACGAGCAACAAAGTGCAAGTATTAAAATATACAACATTTTGTTGCTGAAAAATCACATGCTCACTGATAAAGAAATAAGAGTAGAACGTTCCCCAATAAAATTAATTTTATTTAAACATAAATGGTAAAAGTTTAACAGTGTTCTTATTCAAAAATCAACAATTAGTTGGTCACTGGCACACCAGCAGTCGTCGAATTATCAACACCACATTCGTTCGTGCCTCGTCGAATTTTGAAAAAACCATTGTCACCCCACTGTGTGTTCCACGAATTGACCATCAACCAATACGGGGTTCCGTCTTCTTCACCCCAACCGATCAATTTAACGGCATGTCCTCCCAAGTATGATGCATTATCCGATTTCACATAAACACCTTTAGAACGGGAAATGTCAGTTAGAAATAATATTATAATTTTAAAAATAGAAGCTCAAAACACTTCATATTATAATATGAAACAATATTTGGTGCTTATCGTTTACCTGACTTGTAACTGGGGAAATCGTCGTAGACATCGAACGATGCTTCAATTGGTCCGTAAGTCAAAACGTCCTTTTGGATGCTGCCGTATGTTAAGTAGTAGTAATCACGTGCTACAATCATAAGTAAATACATTAAATATATTAAAATACATGTACTACTTTGACCAAATAAATCTTACTGTATCTGTGATCGTCATTAAAATCGATTGACTGATTTCCGTAACAGTGTCTCCTGCATATGTGATTTATTGCCAACGGTTGATCTGAGGATGAACTATTTCCATCATTGCTAGGTGGGACTCTGTATGGTTCACAACCCTAATAGTGACGTAGGTATACACGGTTAAACCAAATATAATATTATAAAAATAAATGTTAACACTCTTATCCGAAAAATCCACTAACCTCTCCTGAGTTGTAGTCTCCTCCAGTTACTAGACCGTGTGTACTAAAACGTTTCCAAGCTTTAATCGGATAACCACCGTGACATCCAAAACCACAAGTATGACAGCAGAAAGTGATTTCTTCTGCGGATAAAAATTCGTTGAAATCTCCAGTTGTTGCTACACACAAACGGTCAGCAAAAGCCGAGCTCGTGGCCACCGCCTAAGTAAATAATTTGTTTAAAATAAGATTAATGTTCAATTCAACTTCAGTTCAAAATTAAAGTTCCCCTTTCGACACGAAAAAATCGACATTTGTACATACCCAACACGATCCACAATTTCCTTGGTCGCGCACTCTTCCAATTGTGTCACAATATACCCATTTATTCCTAGCATCGAAGTGCTAAGGAATTCTGCCAAATAAGTTGTCGTACGCTTCATCGTGAGTCTTGTACAGTTTATGATTAACTTTGTCTAGATTTTGCACTCCTCTTGATCCCAAAAGTTTTATGATATCATCATGTGGAGTATTTGGGTCGAAATTCATACCAGCCTTATTTATTAAATGTTATAATGTGTATTAGTGTGGAAAATGAATAAAAAAGTAAAACTTAAAAATTATATATTTATGAGTACAACAAATATTCAACTGTTTTTTTTTAAAATATAGTTAGTTGTATTGATTTTAGAAAAACAGTTGATGTATCATAATATTGTTAAGCCTTTTGCCCACTTACCCATAAACAATATGAAGGCTTATCTGTGTATTATTAAATCAATGTTAATAGGTAAATGATTCACTTTTCTTTATTGTTTTATTTTATTGTTATTTATTTATGTAATAAAAATTCGTTTCGAATTGCAATTTTTGAATATGTAATATAGGAGATATGTTCAATATTTTTTCAATTATATATTGTGAAACTCTTTAATGTTATCGTAATTTATAACTATGATACAAAATTGTTTTATACAGGATTCAATCTTAAGTTCAATAATTGCTTATTTATTTAGGGTCCGTACACACGATATTCTGTGTGATCCATTAACCAGAGGACACTTATGTTTTAAAAATTATTGTCGTTTTTGAAAATATTTATTACACGGTTTCAAGTGTGATCAATATTGTTTTGCATATCAATTTTTAAGTTTTTAACTGTTTTAAATAAGTACCATAACATTCAGTTTTAATTTCGTATTCGAATGCACAATGTTTTTCAGTTTTTCTTAATATTTAATACTTGGATACATAAAATTCGAATATCGGACTAGTAGTATATGATTCATAAGTATTGACTTAAGTTTATATGAACGAAGTAGAGTGTAACTTAGCTTATCAAAACTTTAAATATTTGTCTTTCATAAGTTACTCGTATAATAGAGAACAATGTACATTCTTCAAAAGAAAATTTATATCCAAACGAAAATTGTAACGTGAAGCCATTTCTCAAAGAAATAGACTTTGTCTATAAATTGTAACAAATGTTTTCATTAGCTTACATTATAATGTTTTTAAAAATATTTTGAGGTTTTTTGAGCTATAAATAGAGTTTATATTTTATTTCAATACTATACTACAAATATTACAGACATGTGATATTTTCGATTGTTTTGAGTTTTATTTTCTTTAAACGTCATTATTTGTAATATGATTTTGCTTGGTTGAATAGTACCTTTTAAAATTATATTTGAGGTTCCTCATCTTTATGTATTATTACTCTACATAAATCGTACAAAATGAGCATAGAAAGTATTCTGTTTATATATCATATTTTAGGTATAATTATAAAATGTTTATTATTTTTTACACGCACATCACATTATTAACACATAACAGATTCTTCGAAATAAAAAACTCTTATCAAATATTTGATAATGTAATAAATATAACTAAAAACGATATTTATTGTAAAAATAATAATTAGCTAGGTACATACCTTCCATGTAGTCGCTTGTTCATTGATATTGTTAATGAAATCTTCTTGTAAAAAGTATGCTTGTTCCGTCGCATAAACGCTGACGAATATCACAGACAATAACATAAATACTCTAGCCATGATTGCAACTTTGTCGTTTTAAATTTATTATTTAATAAAATTGAATTAAAACCCACTATTGCTGCATGTACAACAGTAGTAGAATGAGTTTTATTAATAAACACCTACCATTTATATAGGTGCGTCTGAATACTCAAATTATATATTCAATAATAGATAAATAGGTACCTACCTAAACATTTCTCAGAAAATTGTATCTTGAGATGTCTATGTATTATCAATATATCAATATATATTACATCTGCGTTATAATTGATTTTTATTGATGTATATTGAAATGTGAATAATTGTATGCACTTTAAAATCATATTAATAGGTAATTAATAAGTATTTGTTTTATTAATGACCAACAAATTGAGACGCAAAATGTACCAATTACCAACTCTGATAACAACAATTTCTAGAATTATTAAAATTAATGAAAATACAGGAACATATGAGTAGTGTCTTCCGAGTACACTCGAATCAAGTATATAATTTGAGTACCTGACCAAAAATGTGTATATATACATTAATATTTGAAAATTGAAGCTTATTCTACTACTGTTGTCCACACAAGCAGCAACAGTGGGGGTTTCGCCATGCTTTGTACAAAAATACAGTCTGCAGCTAATTAACAATAATTTACTAATAATATTAATGATCCAACAACTTCGGTTTGTAGCAATGTTCGTACTGTGAATTATGCCTGCCTCGGATTGTTACATTTGTGGGCGAAAGTCGCTTCCTATCAACACGTCGATCGGGCCTGGCACATCGAAATCCGGATCATCGAACGCCAAGTGATCGTTTCACCCACGCACCGCCGTAGTCGGTGTATTTTGTAAATTGATTTTGAATAAAACACCCCTTTTGAAATACCTCGCTATTCGCCCGAGCTCAAAGCACGTATGTCTGAGTGACGTGAATGTGTGGTGATGCTCAGTACTCATCAACTATGGTGCATTTACTATTACTGTTTGCTTATTTTCGGTATAGTAGAATAGTTTCAAGAATAACAAAAAAAAATCCTGTGTATTGTTGCGGGACACGAATACCAAGAAACTTTACCAATTCAGATAATTGTCATCGTAGTGTTATTGCGAAAAACACATTGACACTTTGTTATAAGTGGTTAATTAGTGGTTTGAAATATAATTGTTTTTGTTATTCCCGGAACTATTCTACTACTTTTATTAATTTGAAAATATTAAAAATACATATAGTTCTTAACTGGGGCTCGGGATTAATGTTCTTTGAAAAATAAGTAAATAATAATGATTTATAATATTCATGATAAAAGGTAGACATTTTTTGTTAGCATTTGAAGTTCAAATGTTGACGTAATTTGTCGGTCTTAAAAATGTACAAGTTATTTTTTAAAGTTATAAATTTAATAATAGTTTCAAATTATCTATTGTTATTGCTAAATCTTGAAAATGTAAAACTAAGTTTCTTTATTATAGTTCAAAATTTACCAAAAAAATTTAAAAAATATATTAAGTCAGTTTTTTTGTTAACATTTTAAGTTTAAATGTGGTCGAAATTATATATTTGAACAAAAAAATAGTTTTTTAATTATTTATCTATAATTTAAATACATTTATTGGTTTGCAAGGCTGGGCATTAATGCGTTAATAATTTAAGTTGAGTAAATTTTTTTTTATGAATATTAACTTAATTATTAACTTTTGAATTTAACTTGAGTTAGTTCTATGTTTAAAAAGTTAAGTTAATTTTAATTTTAATTATTATGTAGGTAGGTTAGTATATGTTTTCAATTTCGTATAAAATATATATATTTACTTATATTATGAAATTAAGAATACTATCAATTCCCGTTATATTTCGGCATCGTCGCCGTTATTTGATTTTTATCATTTTCTTTTTTTTTTAATATTTAATTACCTACCAATATTGTGTCAACAAGGGAGTTTTAAGCTTTTAGCTTTATAAAATATATTTTATTATATTTATACAATTTAAATGTGTAATTTAAAGTGAAGTTTATAATGCTATTTTATTATTATAAAATTGAAAATAATGAACAATTAATACTCAGGAATACTTGCAGAAAAACAATAAATACCATTTCAAATGTGTATAGTAGGGTGTTTCTTAGCCATATACGAGAAAAAAAAATGATATATTTTTAGTCTCCCCTCCCCTAAATGTGTGTGTATATACCTATAAAAATGAACTGCAAGAAATTTTAAATAAAGTTAACCAGTGCATGGACTTGAATTTGAAGTTGGTCTTAATACATTTTTAAATAATTCTAGACATTTTTGGTATTTCCGTAAATATTTCGTAAGCCATTATATTATATTTTCATAGTATGTTTTTTCAAGTAAATGTTTGTTCAATGCCAACTTCAAAATCTTTGAGACCCGTAAATCCACACCTTAAGTAAATACATTTCTATTGTCTCATTTTATCTCCGAACTTTCGATATCTTGATTAGATACTTTTAAATTTTATATGAATAATTAAAAATGTGGATTTATTTCATACCCAAACTGCGTTAAGTAGTTTCCGGTTGAATTATTTAAAATGTGTAATATTATTAATTAACTCGTTTGTATAATAAAATATAATAAGTAGTTTTTGTAAACAAAGCACTATCCGAGAACAACGCATTTGAAACTTTTTTATTTTAAATGCTATAAGTGTTATCTGTAGTTGGATACAGTATTTTCCTCCAATGCGAAGAGGTGTATTCTGATTTCTATGAAGATACTGATTATGACTTTGCAATTAACAATAATAATTAGACAGATAACCAATAAGTTATCAAAAATTGAAGTCAAATTAATAAATAAACAGTTTTACCTATACGCACATTTTTGAGTGGGATCTTATTCATGGGAATATAATATTTTTATTTTTTTAATGTATTGTTAAACGTTTATGGAATTTTCAATTTAATAGATTATTAATTATATATTATACTATAATATAATATAAACACTTGACAATATTATAAAAGTTTCTTCTGATAAATACTCATTAACCAATAATGTCAAGTTTCTGAGATGTACATAAATATAGTAATGTATACTTTAATTATGAGACATTGAGACTTGTTCTACTCGCAGGCTGCGTAACTGTGCGTCGAACTTTATTTTATTTTTGTTTCGTCATGTCATACATTTAGAAAAATAATTTGAACAATGACTAGGGTATTAATAATAGTGTCAGTTATTTTGATCAATGCTTATTTGACGAAACAAGCATATTTTTTGGAAAAAGATTTCATCGATAACATCAATAAACAGGCAACAACGTGGAAGGTAAGTAACTTATCATTTAGCTACTTACGAGTAAACTTATAATGATGTCTAAAGACAGCTATAAATGTCCACATTTTTGAGAATTCAATAATATTTATAGAACAAACACTAAAAAACATAATACGTGTCACAAATGTTTTTAAAAACTTTAAAAATAACATCATGTATCCGGGGTTATTTTTTATTAAATCACAAAAAGAAAGTAAATCATATTTTGACAAAAAATCATTCAACATTTTACACATAAATATCTAAGTTAATAAAGATTTAAAGTTCAGAGGCACATAAAAAGTATGTTTTAAATATTTATAAAATTACATTTTTTAATAATTAAAACAATAAATTATGAGAAACCTTGTATTGCATTTTTTAATGTTGAATGTGTGTACCTACTAAACATTTGGGAAATTTTTAAATACAAAATAATTTGCAGTTGTCAGTATTATAATCATAAAATGTGTATTTAACGAAATACGTAAAAAATCAATCTCAAAAAAATATTATGTGAATTAATGCTCTACTTTATTTTTTTTTTCATTAAAAAGTACTCATTAAAAAAAAATTAAAGAATTGTTAAACTGTTTGTACCAAAAAATTTTTTCCAACATTTATATAATAAGCACTAAAAAACTCAAAAATGTCAAATATGTACAAATAACTCAAAAAGAATCAAAGAATTTAGAAACCTACACTAGGTACTTAAAATTCTAATGTAATAAGTAATAACTAATACAATTTGGTAAAAACTTCAAATATCTACTGTTTTTTCGTTTTTAAGGAAAGAGGAAATAAAAATATTTTACATGAAATCACTGTTTTCCCTATTCATTGACCTTTTAAAAGCACCTACTAAATTCAATTATTCCTATCAAAAATGATATTGAAGTTAAAAATTGAAGCAATATTTCTACTATATATATATGATATAGTGTACTCATACGTGAAAAAATTACAACTGCGCTTCGTTCAGAATATAAAATTATTTCAATCAAATATTATGTATCAATTTTTATTCAATTTAAATGTAAAATATTAACTATTCTACTTATCGTATTCAACCAATTAGGCTGGTGTTAATTTTGATCCAAATACGCCAAAAGAACACATCTTAAGACTTTTGGGATCGGAAGGTGTGCAAATTCCAAACAAAGTTAATTTTAAAATGTACAAGACTAAGGATGACAATTATAATTCTTACGTAGAAATTCCCATTAAATTTGACTCGAGGAAGAAATGGACACGTTGCAAAACTATTGGAGAAGTTCGAGATCAAGGAAATTGCAGATCGGATTGGGCAAGTTAAAATATATACCTAAGAGATTATGTTAATGTCATACGTTCAAATTTAAATTATTCCATTAGGCGTTGTCAACGAGCTCAGCTTTTTCGGACCGCCTGTGCGTGGCTACAAATGGAGATTTCAATCAACTTTTATCCGCCGAAGAAATCACATTTTGATGTCACAACTGTGGTGATGGATGTTCAGGAGGTCATCCGATTAGAGCTTGGAAGCGTTTTAATAAACACGGCCTTGTTACCGGAGGAGATTATAAATCAGATCAGGTGACTTTGAAATGTGTTTTTATAATATATGACTGGAGTATGATGAAGTTGTGCCGTACCTATAATGGGAATTGTAAGTAAATTGTTAGGTATTGTTCATATTTCGACTTTTTCAAAGCACATCGTCCACCGGTCGTCGTCAGTGCCAAAGATTTGTTTTTTCACAATTATGTTTGTAAAATGATGTGTATAACATATTTGAGATAATTCTATTACAATTAATTGTGATATAATATTACCCAATAGCAACTCCATAATGAACAAAAAAAATATGCTTTTTCGTGTGCTGAAAAAACAAACAATAAGCGAGCTAAATTTTAGCTACCTGGGCATAGGGAATGAAAAAATAAACACCATTTATTCTCGACGATCGATTGGACATAATGAAACATATCGACCAAATATAAAGATAAAATTATAAGTTTATATTATTATATTTATTATATTTATATTATGTAACATATTTCAACCATTTTATAGAAAAACAAATACTAATTTTTACTAATTTGTTAATATGGCTATACTAGCTATAACACCTGACGTTGCCCAGGAAAACATTTTCTTTAAGTAAAACTTCTTTACAAAAGGCACGGAAAAAAAACGATTGTCGTTTTACATATAAACCTTTGACTCTAATTTTCTCGGAAACTACTCAAAAGTTTATCTTAATTTTTTTTTTTAATAGAAGATTATATCTCGGAGAAGGTTCGTATATCATTTGTCTAAGTTAATAGACAATTGAGTGATTTATTAATTTAAATAAATATGTAAATTGTATACCTATTTACACATAAAAATAGTAAAAATAGTAGTTGGCTGAAAATAAATAATAATTAAACTCGACAAAAAAGGATGCTTCCAGGCAGGTCAGTATCGACTTTAAATAATAAATAAATAATAATTATTAAAATGATTTAGTTTAGCCTAAAAAAAAAACAATTAATTTTATCTCAAAAACAAAAAGAAAGATGTTTCTTCTCATAACACTCACATTTTTTTAAAAATATGTATGTAATATATCCTTAGGCTGGATTGAATCCTTGTTGTGCTGTCGTATGTCTGGTATTTTTTTGGGTGTAAAAAAATCTAAACATTCAAAACCGGGTTTAAGTGTCTACCAAGATCTCTTGAAAATCGATTTACGTAAAATTTGGTCACTTAGGTAGGCTACCAAAATAAAATATAAATAGTTTATCAGGTAGGTAATGCATTAGCGTTGAATTGTAGATAGGACGGTGAACTGCAGTAAATGAAACTTAACTACCGATCTATGTAGGCGATATATATGAACTATGACCATTAAATACTCGTAATATTTACAATTAATGTATCAGAAAGATCACCAATGAATATATATATATATATAACAACAACGAATAAGTAATTGTTTTTTAACATCATTATTTCTCACCTCAGTACGTAGTTGTGGTAAGATAAGACCAAAAACATTAACGTTTTTCAAAATATCAAAATAACTTTTTTTTAAATGTTAAGTACTATCGATCCCAGTTAATTGTATATATATTATAAGTTTAATCATACATCCACAATTTTTAGGGATGTCAACCATATACAGTCCCTCCTTGTCCATATGACGAACAAGGGAAAAAAACATGCTCAGATCAACCAATGGAATCTAATCATAAATGCATGACAACGTGTTACGGAGAAAAAGATCTTGATTACCAAAAAGATCACAGATACAGTAAGATTAATTTTTATAAATTATGACATAAAGCAAATGCTTGGGTAAACGTTGAAATTATGATTATAGCTAGAGACTATTATAACCTCAATTATAGAATTATCCAAAAAGACTTGATGAATTATGGACCAATTGAAGCATCGTTCGATGTGTATGACGATTTTCCCAGCTACAAGTCAGGTAAAATATGAAAATTGAGTGCATAGTATCCACGATATAATTCACTACTATTGTACATCAATTTTCTTTCATACATTTTATGGATTTTAGGCATTTACGTGAAATCAGAAAATGCCTCATATTTAGGAGGACACTCCGTGAAGCTGATCGGTTGGGGTGAAGAATACGGAGTCCTATATTGGTTGATGGTCAACTCCTGGAATTCAGATTGGGGTGATAAAGGTTTATTCAAAATTCGACGAGGCACAAATGAATGTGGAGTCGACAATTCAACAACAGGAGGTGTCCCCGCCACTTAATAAATTATGCATTTATTGAAAAATATTTTTAATATTTTTATGTATGAACACTGTCATATTATATTTTTGATTGTTACCACTTCAACTATAATGTTAAGTATAGTTGATTTGACGTTTTTATACACCGCGGCGATTTTATGTTGTCTGTACAGAGGAGATAATTGTTGTTTTCTTACACTATGACATGTTACGATCTCGTTAAAAAAGTGTTGCTAAATCATAATTATTTTTACCAAGAATATTATATTATTTTAATACTTCTTTGGTCTATTCGTGTATTACACGTGCACATAAAAAATATTGCTTACTTATTTACTGATCTTAGTTTAAGTTTTTATTCAGTCTACCATAATATATTATTAATAAATAAGCTTAGTTCTCTTGGCGTTTATGGCATTTGCTTTCGTTGTTTGGCTCTTTTTTACCATATAAGACTCAAAAATGTAGACCAAATATCGTCACGGGCTGAAGTTAGCCTCATGACATTGCCTGATCTATTCCGGACCAAAGATATTGTTTTGCAACTCATTGGTAACACTCTTTTCATAATTTTTAACTCTTCACTTTGGGCCCTACACAATTTTTTTCATGATAATCCTTTTTGTATGTATGGTTTTGTACCTGTATGACACTACAGCTACAGTAGCCGAAAACTGCAATCATGATATGCTTTTAGATAAGGAGTATGGTATTCGTTGGTTCACAAGTCGAGAATTGTCTGATTAATGTTGAAATATTAATATTAAGTGAGTGGTTGCGTGTTGGAAATATACGATAGAATAAGGAAGTTATAAATAAATTGTTTTTAGTGGTATACACCAATGTGTAATGCGTGCCAAATAGTTCATAATACTAAACAACAAATCTTAACATAACTTTTATTTTAATAAACAAACTATCCGTGGCATCTGTGACCATTGGACGTAACGGTACATTATATAATATATAGACATATAGTCATTAGCCATTTTATTAAGTGCCTAGGCCAGGGATGGCAAATCCATGGCACACGTACCCGAGGTGGCAAGCGAAAATAATTTGTGGGCACGTGAAAATTTTTACTGTTATATAACCTACGACTGCTCGCGCATTACTTTCGCGAATATTATAGGACCCATAATAACCTAAACTAACCTTTTTATACAAATACATTAATTATAGAATAAAATTAAAGTATGACAAAATATAATATTTTTAATATTTTTTTTCATGGCACGCTCTAAAAAAAAAAAGGTTATTACTAATTTTGGGCACGCAGTGTTCATAAAATTTGCCATCCCTGGCCTAGGCATATATCCAAAGAATTTAATGTTTATGAAATTTCACTATCCGCCTAGGCATTTAGTTAAATATCTAGTCATTTAATTAAATGATTAGGTATTTGATTAAATGTCTATTTCATGTCAGGCAAATAATAAAAAAACATTTTGTATTATTTTAAAAATTTTAATATATTTTCTACCAGTTATTTATTGCTATTTTATATATAAAAAGGGATGTATTATTTATTAATATAAAAAACACGATGGTATATGAAATAATATGTTAAATTTCGTGTTAATTATTACTATTGTTTTAAAAATGAAACCATAAATATATACAGGTATACCCTCAGAGTCAGGAATCTGTAGAAAGATCAAATCAAGATTTTGAAAACAAGTTACGAGCTTGGGTCGTATAAATGAAAGTACCAAGTGGTCAATCGGAGTTTATTTTGTACAATGGCAAAAAAACATTTCACATCATCGAATTTAAGGTCGTTCGCCATATTGAGCCTTGTTTGGTACTGGACCGAAAGTAAGTCTTCGTTCTACAAACTTACCTTCCAAAATTAATCAAAAATTATCAAATGAAGAAGACTTTGAAAATATTTTACAAGACAATTCAGAACATAATATTGACAATATACCTTCAAAGAAAAACAAATATTGTGACATAAATAATATCTGCAGTGTTTGTGAAAAATTAGGTAGTGAAATCAACTGTACTATATGTAAAAGAAATATTCATTCTGATAATTGCAGCTATTCTATAAATAATAGGAACGATATTGAAAATTATTTTTCTACTATGCAATAATGAAAAACAGATAAAGTTAACCACATTGAATCTTACAAACGACAAACGATCGCAGATAAAAAAAATGGCAGAAAATAGTGGAAAACTATTTAAAGAACTAAAGGTTGGTGATCAAATAGTAATTAGTGTTCCAAAAGTAGACCGAGGACCTCTAGATAATCAAAATATAAATTAGTGATGAACATTCGGAACTGCGTTTATCAAATTGGCACAGAAGTTGGAATAATAAAAAATTGATGTTGAAGAGAAGAACTTCAACTAGTGTCAAATAATGGCTTAGAAGACAGCATAGTGAAAAAAAGACGAATTTGTGTCCATACGTGAAGCAGTAGCAAACTTATCAATTTGCAGCGATCAAGGTTTTGTTAAATGTCAATGTCAATCAGGAAAGCGGCAATGCCAAATCAATCGGTGCTCATGTTTTAAGAAAAATCTCAAATGTTCCAGCAAAAGCCACCAAATAACAACATGTGACAACAAGTAATAGGTAACAAAAGCTTTTAATAATATTATAATATAACTTTTTATTTATTTTTTATTATTTCATTTTTAAAACAATAGTAATAGTGAACACGAAATTAAATATATTATTTCACATAATTATTATATTATTATTATTATTTTCTACGTGTTTGACATATTTTATAAATTATACATAGCTTTTATATACATAAAATAGCATTAAATAACTGATAGAAAATATATTAAAATATTTAAAATAGTACAAAATGTTTTTTTAATGACTAGGCATTTAACTAAATACGTATCTTCGCGGATAGTGAAATTGCATACAAATTAAATTCTTTGACTATATGTCTAGCCATTTAATAAAATGCCTGATTTGACTATATGGCATATATAACATATAACATGAATTTTTAAATGATAATATTCAGAAAATTTCACTAAATATTGTGATAATTCTGTCATCTACTTTAGAGATGGCGTTATATTCAATAGATAGGAACTGCCAGAGCTTCTGTAGAATATATCGAAAATTTTTTTGATAGTTTCCATTGAACTGAAGTTTCTTTCTTCACATATGATGGCTATCCCGAAGCGTCATTTGATGAGAGATGCATCCATAAATGTGTGAGTTTGTGAATGAGTGAGTGAGCGAGTTATCTTTGAATACATTATTGTAAATGTGAGGGCAGGTAGGTTTTTGGGAAATCGATGTATTTCAAGATTAATATTAGTGCTGAATTGCTATAGAAGGCATAGATAAGTCTCAAATGGAATTATGTTTTTATGATAGTATTTTATTTATGCTTTGTTGAAAGTATGTTTAGGGTGATGTATTGAGAGGATCTTGAAATTCTTGCTGTTAATAAGTAAGTTTGTTCTCTCCACCGTATTTCTATGTAGGGAATTCAGTATCATTTGTGATACTTTTGATGGGGCAGGAACGGATGGAAGGTTGCATTCCCGAATTATGAATAGGCTCAAATATTTTTAATTGAGTAGATTTTGCTGATGAAAAGATAAAGTCCTGGAATGTAATTTTAAGAGTATGAATGCGTTGTGTATCATAATAATGATTTGAGATTGAGCTCTCCATGAGTTGTGAGAGTGAGTTTTTCTTATGTTTAGACTTGGAGAGGCATACCATTTTTGGATGTGAGGAAGCCATGAAGCTTTATGGTTGAAAATGACGCTCAATATTTTAACACTGGGTTGGTTTTCTATATTTGGTTTCCGGTGTTAAAATGAATTTTCGACGTAGTCCTTTTTTGGTTGTTAACTATAAAGATGGGTTTTTTCGGGGGAAAAACGAAATTCAGATGTTTTCGACCAGGGCATGACTTTGTTCGTGGAATCTTGAAGTATCTGTTGGATAGAATTAATGTTTGTACTGTGGCAGAGGATAGTGAAAATTGAATAAGATACCCTCAGCTACTTTGAGCCCAGCGGATATTGTTTCAGCTGTCTTTTATGTGGAATTAGAACGGAATATTGGTTTTCTTGAAAGAAAAATACAAAAACGGTTATTCGATATGTGGGAGACGAAAACAATGTTTTGACGAAATTATTTTTCTATGTTTATAATATAGTCTCTTTGACGTATACCGTCTATTGAATTTAACACAAGGGCTTCTTCTCTGCTGGAATAGTTTTCATTAGCTGCTACGGAAGCGTAATTTAGGTTTGCGTTTTGTTGGATACGGTATTATCAGCGTAGGAGAGTTGTTTTGGCGAACTTGTGATTCCGCACCACGGAGGACTCAACGACCACATGTACCTCAAGCTTGTCGTTCCTGTGCTTCAGGATTGCCTCGGTTAATAATTGTTCTTAGCTGTTGATAAGAAATCAGCTCGTGTTGTTGAATTGGGGCTGTAAATATTATTGTATGGTTGTTGTTGTTCGTGCTTAACATTTTTATTTTTTTATTTCTAAAATTCTTTTTAAGTCATTCTTCGATTTGTGTGCCACTGACAATACGGCCTCAACCTCTGATCTTAATAGTGTCATAATTTTATGGTTTTGCTGTTTCTTGCCACGCTGTCAACAGGGACCAATCCGATGATATTTGTTCCGATTATATGATTTATGTATATAAATAACCATTGAATATTGACTACAATATGACAGATAATTATTGTTCGTATTTTAAACTATAGGTATACAAAAAATATGTGTATAGAGTTCAACGTTTTGGTGTTCTTTTTACTTTATAACTAAAAGCTCAACTATAGTGAACTGAAAAAACTTACATGTACGTATAATGGCACATACAAAAAATGAATATATGTGTTTGTATACTAAGTATATTTTAATATTATCAATATTTTTATTAAATTCTGAATATGATTTAAGATAGTATGACCAGGAGATACAATTATAAAAATTGTATCACGAGTCAAAGAATCACGTGGTCTACAGCATCTTTCGTGGTAAAGAAAAATTTGTCGAAATGTTCAATAAGCAAATAATTGCTAATAATAATAACTAATAATTAGTGTTTATTTTGTTATTTACCTATAGACTTTGATAATAATTAGTGAACAGTCATTAATAAGATGAGTAAATGACACACAAACAAAATAGTTCACTAGAAACGCTAGTTGGTACCCACCACTTGGAGGCAACCATAAGTATTATCTTGGATCTTTGAGTCAATCATGACTTATCACACAGCGTTGTGAATTGGTTCTTACAATATATCTTAGCAAAATTATTCAAAATTTATTGAAAATTTAATTTCATAAGATAAAATATCATTAAAATATTCGAAAAGATTTTATTTCATATTTTCGAATGACATCAAACTACTGTAGAATCTCCCTGATGTAGACTTGATGAGACCTGACTTCAACCAGCTTATAATGGGTTGAACAGAATAACATTTAATTTTGCTCATTTAATCATATTTGTTGTAACTAAATGACTTTTTTTATACGTGCATCATGTAAATAATTAATTGTTTAAATTAACCGGATGCCTGTATCAGTGGAGACTTCGACTTTAACTAAAATCGTTATTCTTTTTTAAAAAATAATCAATAGAAAATTACCGGATACAGCATCTTAGTGGCGAACTATTTTTTACATTTATGAATAAATCTATATTTTGGTAGATTAATATTAATTAAACAGTTTGAAAAATAACAGTTAAATTTTTGTATTACAAGTTTAATAATAAATAATAAATTACACATTTACTTGGTCATATAAGTTGTATTGCATGAACATAATACTATCTACTACGTAACAACTTAATTTTTATTATCAATAAATGCTTATGGATTAATATTGCATTTAATAATTTTCAAAAAAAAAATTAAATAATATCCTTTCAAGAGACTGTTATTCTTAGTTCTTAAATTAGAAAAACTCTGAATTGTTTTATTCGATTTCAATACATCGACATTTTTAGAAAAATTGATGGTTTAACAAAAATATGTACCTATGAACTAATTTGAAAAACCAATGTTGGAATCGTCACAAAATACTCCCTAAATGTTACGGACAATTTAAGTATTCAAAATATGATGAAAATACCATGAATTAAAGTTCTTCAATTTTGAGTAACGCCTAAAACTAAGTTGATTTTTCAAAAACTGATTGTATATAATTATAATTCTCGTTTTTATTTACATTTTTTTTTATATTTAAAAATCAAAAGAACTATTTCACTGTTGATCCCCAAAAGTTTTAACTAGAATAAATGTTCAACCAGAGACCATTTAAGTTGAAAATTGAATCATTTTTACTTAAAAGGCCAATGACGATAACAAAAAAAATTAAAATTAATTTGTCATTATGCTGCCAAAACATTGATCGCTCTGCTCAGAATTTAAAATAAGAAATAAATGTTCAAAAAAAATTATTTGACACCTGATATACCATTGAAAACCAATTGCAATGAACACTATTATAACTACCTACAAAATAAGCGTCCACATTGACAACTAATCCATAATACATAATAAAATATTATAAATTTATTGCACGTAAGCAATAGTATAGTCATGTGATTATAATTTCATAGATCAAAACAATATTATTATACGTTTTGTTGATTAATAAGATAATGAGAAAATAATTGTGACTTTTCAACAGCATCTTTACCATAACATATTTAAAATTTGACAAATTTTCTTCTCCATACATACAATAGTATAATATTTTCAAAGTGTGCAAAAGCGTCAAATCAATCATTAACAGTTGAAAGTAATAAAAACAAACATTTGACATTGTTCAACCACAACAATTATATGTTTTTAATACAATTTATTATTGAATGATTAATTTATTAAGTGGCGGGGACACCTCCTGTTGTTGAATTGTCGACTCCACATTCATTTGTGCCTCGTCGAATTTTGAACAAACCTTTATCACCCCAATCTGCATTCCAGGAGTTGACCATCAACCAATATAAAACTCCGTATTCTTCACCCCAACCGATCAGCTTCACGGAATGTCCTCCTAAGTATGAAGCATTTTCTGATTTCACGTAAATGCCTAAAAACCGTAAAATGTAAAAAAGAAAATTGATATGCAAAATGTAGGGAATAATATCGTGGATACTATGCACTCAATCTTCATATTTTACCTGACTTGTAGCTGGGAAAATCGTCATACACATCGAACGATGCTTCAATTGGTCCGTAATTAATCACGTCCTTTTGGATACCTCTGTATGTGAGGTAATAATGGTCTCTCGCTACAATCATAAGCTCCACGTTTACGCACTCATTTATCTCTATATGATAAATTGAAAAAATAAATCTTACTGTATCTGTGATCTTCGTCGAAATCGAGATCTTGATCTCCGTAACACATTCTTGTGCATCTGTGGTTTTTTTCCATTGGTTGACCCGAGCATGTATTATTTCCTTGGTCGTCATTAGGACAAGGTGGAACTCTGTATGGTTCACATCCCTAAAAATGATGGGAGGACGGTTAAACTAAAATGTATACATATTTAAAGAAGTGTGTACATGTTGAGTGAGTTATGGTAGAGCACTTCATTTGGAAATCATGTTATGTTTAAATGTGTTTATTAGAGTTGGAGTACAAATGAATACAAAAAAATAATTATATTTCTAAATTTGGATACAAAATCTAAATATTTTAACATTGTAAAATGTTATTTTGGTTTTTCCAAGAAGTCATATTTTACCATATTATCCCATAGTTGTGGTATTACGGAATATGATGTATAAATAAATACTTTTATAGTATTTTATAAATAATTATATTTATTATTTTTTTATGTGATATTTTTTCTTTGTGAGTAGTTACTCAGGTAGAAGTGATATGTAGAGAAATGTTCCCTAATAGATATCTGATACCTCCAAAAAGTAGACGTTTTTTTGTGAACAAACTGCTCACTTATTACAAACTAAACATCTGAATAGCTAGAAAAAATTCGACGACTGAAAGTTTCCGGTACTAAAAAGTTCCATTGTATAATAAATTGTACAATGGACCACAATGAAGTTATTACAAAGCAGGTTCCCCGTCTTCCCCCAGGGGCATGTCCATGGTTGTATGGTTTGGTTAGAATTCAACAAATACTTTAGCATTGAGAAATGTTCAAACAACCTTGCAAAAACTTGAATATAAAAAGTTCATGTAATTTACATTTTTATAAAATGTTAAATTTGTTTTCTTGAAATGATGTATTTATTTATATTTTTATTTTTATGTCATAGGTAAATATTCGTATAAATTATAAAAAGTATTCACTGTTTTTACAAAAAAATAAACAATAGCCAACACAAATGCAAGTGTATTTTTTGATATTGATCATCTAAGTATTTGAACATTTTTTTTAAAAATATTAACAATAAATAAAAATCATATTATGCATAAAACAAAACATATTTAATAGCCAATCAAAGTATAACAATGTTGTATTGTCTCAGAATATTATCAACATTGATTTTTAACAAAGTTATTGGCTTTTCCCCTTCTCCTTGCCCTTCACAACTTGTGAATACACCACTGCTTAAGTAATAATTTAGGAAAGATAAACTTCATTATTAATGTAATCTTCACAAGTTACAACATTTTCTTTAACAATATCTCCGAGGCTCGGATATGTTTTGTGATAGAGCATGTTTTTTTCTATGAATCTAATTTAATACTGACCTAAATACAAATTTGATTCGTATTGTACTGAATTTATTTCGCATAATAGGTATGCATATTTAACTGTTTCAGAACCTAAATTGTTGAATATTTGTATATAAAAATTAATGTTGGTCTGTCTGTCCTTTATGCCTACCTAAACGATTGGACAGATTTTGTTGAAATGTTTTGAGTAAGTTTGTGTAGTTCCTTGGAAGATTAAGATTCACAATTGAACCCGATGAGCTCAAACAGAGATTTCGAAATGTACGAAGGAAATTTATGTTTATACATACTTGCTATTAGTTTGTAGGAGAAATATAAATATATTTAGTAAAAATTGGTAATTTTTTTTTGTTAATTGGTTGCCAGTGGTTCATCGGGCAGATCAGGTCCAAGAATTGCATACAATTTAATTTTCGCACATTGCCTACCGAGGTGGCTGAGTTGCCCTTATAGCTGCTCTTCGGTGCGGATTTTATTAAAATAAAAATAAGTAAATAAAAATCAAATATATTATTTTAATGGATTACGCATGATTATGCACGAGCCGCAGGCACCAATAGGCAAGATATACTGCTTGCATTATCACAGTTGAGTCTCACATAGAGTTGGCGTTTTCACAAATTGCAAAGGCTCAGCTAGTTTACAAAAGTCTAAAGCAACTGTGAACTAAATATCTATGAACTACGTAAAATAATATAAATCTTATACCTAAACATTGGATTTATTCCAAATATTTTTAGATTTTACATGATAACTTATCGATGTTGATGATTGATATGTAGGTATGTAAGGACGAAGTATTAGGTAGTACGATTGCAACCACTGTGCCTGTCTACTACAGACGAGTGTTGTGTTTTTTCCATGGTTAGCTATACTACATTTAATTTAAATATGCCAAAAACTCAACTATCTTGTCCGGATCGTCTTAAAGTTCAGGGATGACGTATTTCTTATGAATGGTTCGATTCTGTATTGTAATAGGTGTGTGAAACCAAATTCAGTTTTTGAGTGCATGTTTTAGTGTTTTTATAAGTAAAAGTGCACATTTAGGTAAAGTTTTTTAATTCATGCATTTAAGTGCATAAATATCGGAACCCTAATAACAAGTAATTCGTAACTAATAACTTCATAATTACGAGTATAAGCACTATAAGCATACAATTTTCATAGTTTGTGAAACAGTGATTTTTCTTTAGTTCTACATCGAAATTTACTGATTAAAATATCCTGATTTAGTAACAAAAATAACAAGGCAATATTTTTGCTGTCATTAATAATTGTAAACTATATTAATACAAAGGGACAGCATGTATTGACAGCATAGTAAATAAATATAAGCAACAGATTTACTTACAATTCCTGTCTTACCTTACGACTTCATCTCCAATCTCCCTTAAATATAAAAAAAAAGTTTCCAAATTAGTCACCTCTCCAGATTTATAATTTCCTCCTGTAACAAGTCCGTGTTTTTTATAACGCTTCCACGCTCTTATCGGATAACCACCAGAACATCCATCACCACAAGTGTGACAGCAAAAAGTGATTTCTTCGGCGGATAAAAGCTGATTGAAATCTCCATTTGTAGCCACGCACAAGCGGTCTGAAAAAGCTGAGCTTGTTGACATCGCCTAATGAAATAACACATTTAAATTTGAACATTTGACATCAACATGATTTTCGTTATATATTTTAACTTGCCCAATCCGATCCACAATGTCCTTGATCTCGAACTTCTCCAATAGTTTTGCAACGTAACCATTTCTTCCTTGCGTCAAATTTAATTGGAATTTCTTGATAGTTGTCATCGTCGTCACCGGTTTTGTACATTCTATAATTAATTTTATTTGGACTTTGTACGCCCTTTGATCCAAGAAGTCTTAAGATATGTTCTTTTGGTGTACTTGGGTCAAAATTAACACCTGCCTAATTGATTTAATACGATAAGTAGAATATAGTTACCACTCAAATAGAATAAAAACTGATGTAAATATTGATGTATGTTCAAGATAAGAACAGAGTATATGTACTGTAGTATTTAGAATAAACTTTGAGCGGAACGATGAATTGTTGATTATTCAATGATGTGTGTTTTTTTTCGTGTCATCGCAGTTATTTTTTACCGACATTTTAAGTTCAAATTTGGACACAATTACATGTTAAAGCCCAGATTCATTATTTTAGTTATTTTGTTGTCATTTGTAAATATTATTCGTGGAAACTTGAGACTTTTTAAATACATTATAGTATTGTATAAAGTATACACACAATTACATTTTCAAATACGATTTTCAGAGCAAAAATTAATTTAACTTACTGTAGTATTAACTATTAATACCTAATAGTAAAATTAAATATTTTAATCACAATTATATCATAAAATTTATTTAGTAAATATTATAGGCCGACAGATTGTGTATGCAAACATGATTTATAATATAAAAAAGTATTTTATTTTAACTATATATTATGTTCCGGTCAGAAAGTAAATCTAGATTCTTGATAGTACCTACGTTTAGAAAGGTGAAATTAAAATCGTAATACATTTAAAAATAATTAGGGAAAACAAAACACAATAAGAAATAACTGAGATTTTTACAAAATAACGATTTAAGATACTTAAATTTTCTTCGATTGTTTTATTTTAGAATTTTCTGCATGTGGTATAACTTTTTTTAAATATTTCCACTATTTTTAACCATTTGATGTTTATGATTTTTTTTTAGTTTTTCTATAAATACCTTTAAATGTTCAATTTTTCAAAATGTATTATGTAAATGTTTCCACTTAAGATTTTATTAAAGCTATTTAAAAATATTAAAGGTAAAGAGGCATGCATTTTTTTTTTTTTTGAAGCATTTAAAGTTCTAACTTTGATTGTATAATAATTTTATAGTTACAATCTCAATAAAGGAACTCTCACAAATTCATCATTATCATAACAATTCTCAACTTATTTTGTAAATATTAGTTTGTTTAATTTTTAATTTTTATACTAAGTCTTGATAATTTAGTACAAGTTTCCTTAAATGGTCATTAGGTAATACTGGAAGTCTGGAACCAAAATATATAAAAATGTAAAAACAGATTTTAGATACCGAACGAAGGGAATGAATATTTGAAAGCGCCATAAAAAACAAAAAAAACAAAATTATAATTTTTATGCACAACTAATTTTTTAATTTTATTTTTTTGCTTGAAGACAAAAACTAATAAATATAGATACTTGAGATTTTCTACCAAATATTTATATTAGTATTTTGAATGCATGGAATAACATATAAAAATAATTTTAATTTTATATAGTTAATTACATATTTTACGTATTGATTTTAAGTTTGTTTTTGAATTTCTATGGTTGGCGATATTTTACGAGAATAAAAACATATCAACCTTGTAACACTACCTATTCGAAAAATAATTACTAATTTTATATACACATAATCTTAATTATTCTGAAATAAACAATTATTACCTATAGGCATTCCACATTATATATTATAATATTACGACCCAATATTATAATATACAAATGAGCTCCGCATATTTCGATGTAGAATAAACATATTATAATAATTACCGTCCATGTAGTTGCCTGTTCATTAATTTGGTTGATGAAATCTTTTTCCAAAAAATATGCTTGTTCCGTTACATAGCCATGGATCAAAATAATAGACGCTAAGATTACCACCCAAGCCATAATTAAAATTGTTTTTTTCTTAAAGGTATAACAACAAAAAAATAAAATAAAGTATTCACTGTTAGGCGTGTGAGTACAACACTAGTTGTACAACAAATTTCATTACTTAATTATTGTACTACATTTATACACATCCCACACCCTTGACTGTTGAGAATTTATCAGAAAAAAACTTTTAAAATATTTCAAGTGTTTGTATATCAAAAAATGTAAATAATTCCATAATCATTCAACAATAGACTGAAAAATAAAAATTATAAAATTCCCATGAATAATCACTCGAAAATTTGAGTATAGGTGGGTACCTACAACTATTTCTTCATCAAGTTTGGCTGAAGTTTTGATAACGTCTTGGTTACATGTCTTTACGTTATTGTCAATATTTAAAAGTTATAATCAGTTTATTATCTTAATCATAAGTCGCCTCTTTATGTTGGAGGAGTATAAAGTACCTACCTACCGATAACACTAAAATTGTACAAGAAAAAGAACATTTTTCTAACGCATTTTTCTATGTTCCCTGTGTGTTCTATTTACAGTAAATACTTATTATATTTTGTAATACAAACAAGGAAATTGTGATTACTATTTATACTACGCATTTCAAATGATTCACATGCCATCTGCAACATGATATGGATATGAAATTAAAATACATTCTCAATAATTTTTTACGCATAATATAAACATTGACAGGTATATAATCACGGTTAAATCGTTTATTCTTAGCCATATTTAAAATTAAAAAAAGTACTTGTGAAATAGGTAAATATTTTATCGACGAACTGTCATGGAAAATTTGAAGTATGTTGGTAGGTAGGTATATAATCTAACAAAATAACTTACGCTATTATAGGTAGAATAAGTGGGTATGGTTAAACATTTACATAAAAATTCCTTACTAGCGACCCGTCCTGTCTCCGCACAGGGGCAATGCTATTGTTAAATCGCCTAAATCTGTAATATCCCTAAAATATTCATTTAAATTACATAATGTAAAGGGCAATACTGATCTATATCAAATGCACAATATATTTAAGGTAATTAATTGGATGAGGATTAATGCTGTATTGCTTAAAATCGCTTCGTAAATGAGCCATTATTTCTCGTAAAAATTAAAGGATAAAAAATGGTTATTGTGGGTTGCCTCTAAAGGGATAGGACTTTATTGTAGACTTTTTTAAGGTGAGCAATATACAGTGGTACAATTATTGTGATATATCGGTTCAGCCAACGTTTGCAAAACGTTTTCAAAAAAAAATGTGTTAATTTACTACATCACAATAGAAACCATTAAAATTATCAGTGTTTCTCTACTATATTATGCATGTTACGTACACATAAACCTTCCCCTTGAATCACTCTATCAATTAAAAAAACCCTCATCAAAATTTACCGTGTAGTTTTAAAGATCTAAGCATGCACAGGGACAGACGACAGACTACAACGTGGAGCCACTTCGTTTTGTACTATGCAGTGATGATAGTGATATAGTGATTATAGTTTTATATTAAATCAAATTTTCATGTACATATTATACGACCTCCAATATACATAACATTCACAAATAACCTCGTATATTATATTATAGTCAAACCTGGGTGGCTGGGCATAAACGAGTTAAAAAGTTAAAGTTGAATTAATTTTAAATTTTAAAGATTACATTATTTTTCAGTAACTTAATTTTTAACTTAAATGATTTTTATTGATATGAACTTCATAAATAACGAGTTACTTTCAATCAAATCCAATTTCGTTCATTTATAAATAATTAAAATATAATAAATATATGTATAATACAATTATTATTGATGATATATATTGCGTAAACATATACTTCTAATTATTTTAAACCATAGATACACCTAGAATCTAGATCCTAGATACCTAAAAAATAAATAAATAACTTAACTGAGTTTAAAAAAAAATTAGGGTAGGTAACTATTAACTTAAAACTTTTTAAAATGTTTTCTGTCAACTTAGCTTAGTTAAAAATAATCATTAACTTTCCAAGGCTTGATTATAGTACTAGCTGTTCAACTGCAAGTGACAAAAGAAAAATTATCATAATGCTAAATTGAGCATTGAGGTTGATTTTATTTTTGTAAAAATGGTTAAATGTAAAAGAATCCAACCTGTTATTGCTTTTGGATAAACAATTGCCTAATAATAATACCTTATCAGTGGTATAATTGTGAATTTAGATATAGAACTAGGTATATTTTCAATCGTTATTCAAACTACCCTCAACATTTTCTAAAATTTCCAATAACAATTTCTAATACTTTCGTCAACATCAGTAGATTAGGTTTTAAGACTTTAAGCAACAAACATAAAGACGTCGTCTTATTTTGTGCTCTTCAATATAAAATATGGATTTTAATAACACTTTGGAAAAATGTCACAGCAAGTTGGCTTTCCTGCAAGTTTGTACCATTTTGTTTTAAATGTTCGAATTTTTATTTCACCGGACAGATGGTTCTTCTGGTATTCTTCTGTATTGTCTCTCAATATATAGTGAATTTGACTCGATTACCACATCAGTAATTGTTATATAATTAAATGATTTGTACAAATTTGTAACCACAATTATTTTGAAGTATACAATATTTACCTTCCTGATTGTATGAAGTAATTTTAATTCATTAATGTAAATCCAACTATTATTAAAGTGTGTTCATTGTTCAATGAGCTATTATTTACCGGACCATACAAAAAGAAGACTCAATTTCGCGTACATCAATTCCACTTGAAGAAAGGCTATCTCAGCTATCTGTTGCATTAATGTATTGACTAGGTACTAATCTTATAACAAATGTATTAAATTTAAAAAATACAAATTCAAGTAACAATTGTACTTTGTTTTAATTAATAAATATAAACAATTATTATACATCTTAATTTTCATGTAACAATCACTTTAATACATTAATGGCGGGTAAGTGGTTAATGCTTTACTGTTCATAAGGTGTTTAGAGAGTCACCGTAATAGATGTGTAAAATATTTAAATTCAATGACATAAAACCATTGTTTACAAAAAATGATTTTGAAGGTCTGTCAGCCTATAATATTAACATGTAGGTATATTTTATAAAATTATTGTGATTGGATTTTCTAAGTTATAACTTAAATTACAAACATATTTTATTAAATTGCATTACATATAGACTTATTTATAGCTTATAGCGTATAATACATTCCTTTTAGCTTATAGCCATATTAGTATAACTGTCAAGGTGTTCTATCAATTGAATGATGAGGTTGGCTATAATGATACACAGTTAGATTTATTTAATTTTACTGTATTTATCTTTTTCTTTCTATCTGTTTTAATGATTTGGTTATTATATTTCGATTTAAAACTTTTATTGAACTTTTCCTGTTTGAATAAATAAATAATTAAAAACATTTGAGTAGGTAGTGTTTTTAAACATTTTTAATTAATGAAAAGTTCATACCTATTATCTATTTAAAACTTATAATATAATAATCATTATTATATTAATATATACCTAATAAATATGTAATTGGCTTGTTATTGGTAGTCAAATTTCTTGGTTATCTTACTATTTTACTATTTTAGTATTATTAATTAAATATAATTGTATTATTTATTAAAATATACCTGCCTAATTCATGATATATTATTTAACATTTGGTATTCACTATACTCAATTGTACTAAGTATTAACAATTAGGTAGGTTTCATTGTACCAATGGTTGGTCTATTGTATTTAATCAGTATTACTTAGATAATATAATAGGTATATAATTATACCTATAATTAGGTAGGTTGTGGTAGGTTGGTACTGTAGTATTTCTATAAATCTATAATGTATAATACAACTTTTAAATCATATATTCCGGCATTGTAGGTATACATATATATTACATACTACTTGCTTACCATCATAACTAATTCTTAAGCCCACATACTTACCTACACAATCACTATTTTCATTAATAGTTTATGTATGAAAACATTTCAACATCATTACATAAAATATTATTATAAATCTCAAAAGTAACCAATAAGATTTTTTTGTTGCACATATTATGTTCAAAAAAAAAAAAAATGTATTTATTAAGAAGTATTTATTAATTTGCTCATTTGTAGACCATAGGTCTCAAACTCAAATTTAAGTATATAATGAAAGAACAGAATGTATTAAAATAATGTTAATATTATTAACGTTAAATTTTTGTAAGTACTTCTACTCTATAGAATATTTGTAAGAACAGGCATGGAGCTAGAACTTCATTCCAGTGGATGCTGAGTGGAGCATATACATTTTGTATATGATCTAAGGTTTTTTCAAAAACTTCAGAAATTATTCAGATAAATTATTTAATTTATTTAAACATAACATAGCCACGGTAGCCCACATTTAACTGTTTATAACACTCAGTAGTTTTTGTATTCTAAGTTCTAAATAGTTAACAGATATGAACTTTTCATTAATTAACAACGTTTAAAAACACTACCTACTCAAATGTTTATAATTATTTATTTATTCAAACAGGCAAAGTTCAATAATAGTTTAAAATCGAAACATAATAACCAAATCATTAAAACAGAAAAATAGAAAAAGATAAATACAGTAAAATTAAATAAATCTAACTGTGTATCATTATAGCCAACCTTATCATTCAATTGATAGAACACCTAGGCATTTATACTGATATGGCTATATTCTACAATAATTAATAATATCACAATAATTTAATCAAATATACCTACTTATTAATATTATAAGCTGACAAAACGTTAAAATCATTTTTTTGCATACATCGGTTTTATATCATAGAATCGAATATTTAACACATCTACAGTATATGTATAACAGTGGCTCTCTAAACACTTTATGAACAGCACCCATATTACCCACTTATCCGCCATTAACGTATTAAAATTATCATAATGTGAAAGTGAAAATATAAAACTATGATTTATGTATACCTATTAATCGAAACAAAGTTTTAGAAGTACCTTTTAAATATTTATCTAGAAGAAAAAATAATATGATTTTAAATTTAAGACATTATAGACAATATTGTAGGCTGATAGACCATCAGAATCAATTATGGATTTATATGATTGAATTCAAATTGTACACATCCATTACACTATTACAGTGACTCTCTAGACCAGCAGTTCTCAAACTTTTTTT